TTGATGGACAAGAATACATACTCGTGAAGTGTACTAACCCTCTCATACGTCTTACCACAATTTACAGCTTTAACAAAACAGGGCTACTGTCAACAACATCCACATTCCACACTGCAGCAGCTATATTACTGCTAAGAAAAGCCTACAACACTACGTAAAGAGCCCCCTTCAGACATGGATTAAAGCTCAGTAGGTAACGTTTATAGAATATCTTTTTGTCCCTAAAAGAAAGCGTGAAACTTTCATATCCTTTGAACTATACAAATGATGTTTCATTTTCAAGAAGTACCTGCTGGACACAAAACAAAGTTGGATGTGCACTGGTGATTCTGATGAGCTTCAAGTTTTTTGTGATGTCACAGAAGTTGGAACCATGCCCTTAAAATCAGCTTTTTCAATGAGCACCAGAGAAAACGTTCCACTTTTAGCAGAATGAATAAAAAAACCACATGAGAGATCTTATACAGACAGCATTCCAAACATCCTGCAGGAACAAGATAGAAAAGATTTCTAAGAAATAAAAGATTAGAAAGGGAGAAAATAGCGGGAACACAAGTGAAAACTGAACCAAGTAATCATAAAAACAACATCTCACACACTTAATTTCTGTGTGCACCAATCAAACTGTCATTATACAAAAAGCACTGAAGATTAAATAACAACAGAGAAATGTGAAATATAAAATCAGCATGAATCTAATACCAATAAAAATGTCAAGAAAGGAAAAAAAAACCAACCAGAATCACAGAAACACAACAAACCATGTTCATACTACCCCCACACCAAACACAAAAAACGCACAGAGGCAGACTGAACCTGTGTGTATGACTGTAAGAGTGGGCGCCCATTATAAAAACCTGAAGGATAGGAAGGCATGATGTCTGGGATGGGAAAACCGTAAATCATCAAAGCCTATATCATAGAATTACAACATAACCAAAATTATGTCCAATCCGAGTAGGAACTACCCAACACTGGAAACAGACAAACACAGAGAGAGGTAGAGGTCAGGTGAGATCAATCAAAACAGACCAATGAAAGGAGAAAAAGTAAAGATATATCAAAAGCCATACAAAAGAAAGAGAAGGAGGATTTAACGAAACAGGAATGAAAAACAGAAAAAAATAATCTTTCTCTAAAAAGCGTTAAACCTGTGTAATGTTACCTATTCACTAAGGCAGCAATGTCACCCACCCAGGTTCACAGCTAGCCTAGAAAATAAAGGGTCTTCACACTGAATGAGAATTTATTGCTCTTCAGCACTAAAGAACAGAGACTTAAGGCTGTCAGTCTCAAATTTAAAACAAAAAAGCTCAACACACACCAGGCATAAAAACAAAGCCCAGGGGTCGCTGCCAATAGTTGTTTGAACCAAGGGCTGCCCCTATTGTGTGCCTGTTAAAACTGAGTATTATTGGTTGA